TATATATACATATAATACATCATTAACATAATATATAGGTATATTATCAGTGGTACCAAAACACTTGGGCAGTCACTGTCGGTGTCTCATATTAATGATGTTACTGGGGTGACCCCACATGCCGAACCCATTCCAACTAATGTACATAAAGTATTCTGCAGCTTTTTTGAGGAAATTTCTGTAAATGTTGTTTCTCCGGTGAATCTTGCCTGCACTGGCGTTCGAGTGATACACATTTTTTGGAATTTTTCTGCTTCGAAAGAAAGCAAAACGACAAAAAATGTCTAAACTCAAGCTTCTATTCTAAAAGTTTTTGAGGAACCTGATTTTGTTCGACCACTAGCAGGTTGACCATTAAGTGATGCTAAGTGATGCAGCACTGAAGCTACCAGCTGTCCAGTTGAGAAAGCACGGTGTGAACTGCACCAGACCAAAGTACCAAATATTAGGATGGAGTCCTACGAATTACAAATCATGATTATTTAATAAACAGTCGGGGGATTAGCTGCGTTTCATCCCTTAGCTGTAAAGTTATGTGGACTGGTCGCTTTATATTACCTGACTGCTGGGATCAGCCCAGACCAAATCGCAAAGCACTCCAAAATCCGGTATTTCCATTGGACGCCTTAATTTCTTCATCGTTTCCCATCGTTTAATTTCGGGGGATATTCCACCATGCATACAAAATATTCGATCACTTATACGGGCACAGATGGGTAAACAGTCGAAGACTGTTTGAAATATGCGCCATACTTTGATATTGTAGCGTAACGTGCATTCATCATAAAATCCGTATACTCTGAAAAATTTTCACCTATCTACGTACGCTTCAGGCCTGCCTATGTGTTTTCCTAATCTTGCCGTTTCCCTTAGTATCTTAACCATTTACAAAAAGGGGCTCTGCCCACTGCATCTGATTTATAATTATCAAAAATCGAAAAAGAGGAGTGGTGCGCTCCCACCTGTTGATAACTTGCGTTTCGTGATTTCCACGCAACAAGTATACATTTTTTGGATATAATAGTTTGTAGCATAACAGTAGTATGATTGTTGCAATTGAGTATCTGCCGCGATCCACATAATCCCCGAGAAACAGATATTTCCTTAAATTAACTTGCTTTGACCCTCTAATCATGCAGATGGATACTTCTTCAGTTGCTTTGATTAGTGC